AGATGACCAAACTCAGAATCAGAAAGTGCCAATTACCTATTTCAATTGAATGGATGAGCCTAGGCTGTTTAACCAAGATCTTCAAGACCCAACTAAGCTGTCATCCTGATGACTACTGTATTTCATTCCAAGAAGTCCTGCCTGCAACCTAAATCTTCAAGAACTCACCATTCTGTATTAAAATGAACTTTACTGACCACCTCTCTGACCAGTGCACCTCCAGAGACCGGTAAGAGCTTTGCTTTAGACTACTGGGTTCCAGGTCCATAAACCCTTCTCCTCTCCAGCTTGATGCCTCAAAGCCTCAAAGACCCTCCCAACAAATCCTTTTAGCAACCACACTTCTGAAGTCCAGGTTCCTTCCAATCCCTAAGAATTTAAGAGTTCTTTCTTCATTCAAGCAATCCATAAAATATTCTCCACCAAGGTTAATTAGAAAAAAATTTTCCTAAATTTTACTCAAAATGAAAAAAACCTTTATGAATCTGCACTACCCGAAAATGTGCACTTTCTCAATAAGTATTTGTTTAATAATTTTATTTCTTTCCCAAACATCTACTTTTTTAATGTGTCACCTCTGATTATAGAATATCAGCTTCACGGAATAACACATAACACAATGAATGTCATGCTAAATTAAGCATAAATGTTTAACACTTTTGTTGCTGAGCTTCTGAATTCCAGGTTCTATCTCTTTTAGTTTTGTAGTTTTAAAGGTCTGATCCTTCATACACTGAAATAAACCATAAAGGTCATTGTACAAAGACAATACATATGAGTGAGCTCTGGGGTCAGAAGGCTCTAGGATCAAATTCCAATTCCAATCCTTATAATCTTAAACTCTCTAAACTTTGGTCTTCCCATGTGTAAAACAAAGACAATTCAACAGTATATATAGCCCAAAAGGTTAAGGTTAAAATATATAATACATGTAAGTATCTATGTGTGCCTAGAACAAAGCAGCATTTAATGTTTATTTTTTAAAAGGCATTTCCTTTATAAAAAAAAGCTGCAGAATGCATACAATATTCATGCAAAAACAAAAATCTTTCTCTAAGCGTAAATGAAGAGTTTGAAATAATCATTAAAATAACAATGGTTACAACAAACACATGAGAAGATGCTCCACATGACTAATCATCAGGGAAATGCAAATTAAAACCACAATGAGATATCACCTCACACCAGCAAGGATGGCCAGCATCGAAAAGACTAAGAACAAATGCTGGCGAGGATGTGGAGAAAGGGGAACCATCCTACACTGCTGGTGGAAATATAATCTAGTTCAATGATTGTGGAAAGCAATATGGAGGTTCCTCAAAAAAACTAAAAATAGAAATGCCATTTGACCCCGGAATCCCACTCCTTGGAATACACCCAAAGAATACAACTTCTCAGATTCAAAAAGACATATGCACCCCTATGTTTATAGAACACTTTTTACAATAGCCAAGATATGGAAGCAACCTAAGTGTCCATCTGTAGATGAATGGATAAAGATGTGGTACATATATACAATGGAATACTATTCAGCCATAAAAAAGAAACAGATCCTACCATTTGCAACATGGACGGAGCTGGAGGACACTATGCTCAGTGAAATAAGCCAGGCGGAGAAAGACAAATGCCAAATGATTTCCCTCATTTGTGGAGTATAACAATGAAGCAAAACTGAAGGAACAAAATGGCAGCAGACTCACAGACTCCAAGAGTGAACTAATGTTTACCAAAGGGGAGGGGTGTGGGAGGGCAGGTGGGAAAGGAGGGAGAAGGGGACTGAGGGGTATTATGTTTAGTACACATGGTGTGGGGGATCACGGGGAGAACAGTGTATCACAGAGAAGGGACATAGTGGATCTCTGGCAACTTGCTGCACTGATGGAGTGACTGCAATGGGGTGTGGGTGGGGACTTGATGATGTGGGTGTATGTAGTAACCACATTGTTTTATCATGTGAAACCTTCATACGAGTGTATATCAATCATACCTTAATAAAAAAAATTTAAATAAAATAAAATAACAATGGTTACTATGCCCAAAGATGAGGGTGAACGTTATCTTATTTTGTTTAGGACACTTCTGAATTATACGTTGTCCCACATAAATTAGTCTCCCCAAGCCCCTTTGCTCTCAAATAACCTGGTTCAGACTATATAAAATATATAGTCAGTTGTTACTAAGCTATGTCTTTCCATTGTTCCGAACCACTATTCTATACTCCACTGTGTAATACCGGGGTTGGGACTGTTAAGTTTAACTTTCTCCTTTGCCAGCTGAATTTTTGTTAGACTCCACCAATAGAAGGAGAAGAGTTTAATGAAGGTAAGGAGGGGAAAACAATCTTGCCTTTTCTCATTTGTTTACTGTGCCTGTCAGCACCCCAAAGCAACAGTTCTTCATTCCAAAGATGGCACTTGGTTAAAGTCTACAGCTCTTTCTGATCACTCCCCATCAATACCAGCCCTACCTACCAGTATCCACTCCTCATGTATCTGCCAGTCCCTGCTCTACAGGACCTCTCCCCAAAGCTCCTAGTTTCTAGTAATCATAACCTCCACCTTCTGTTCCCTCAGCTTTAGGGGTAGTAGCTCCTTCCTGCAGTTAACTATCTCAGTGTTCCCTTTCTAATTTTTGATTCTCCAGTGCCAACTTTAATTATTCCTTATTAATATACTTTGTTAAAATACCCAGTTGTGCTTTTCCTTCTGTCTGAAGCCTAAATGACATTGGCACTATTCAGAACAGAATGGTAATGGGATTGGGGGTTAAAAAAAACGCTTGCCTTTACATATAACTTCTATGTACTACTTATGTGATTTAAATTTAATGATATATTTTAAGTGATTTTTTAAAAATTATCTTGCCTTTTCATGCTGGTCTTCAGAACATTGTAAATCATCTTTTTTAAGAACACATCACTAGAAAAATCTCCAAAACAATTTACTTCCAGAGACTAGCATCAGTTAAATGACATACGGAGTTGAGGCCAGTAGCCACTTAACTGGAGAATCTACTCACTATGGTCTTTACTAATATAAGGCCATTAACATAAGCACGTCAACTGAATTTGAAAGTCTTCCATTAGCAGTGCTGTATGAATTTCCTGCAATAAAGGATTAAATAAGCCTAGAACAATACCTATCACATATTAAGTGCATAATAACAGTGAATACCTTCTAAAGAAGATATGTGCTTGGCTTGTTTCAAAGTTGAAGGAAAGCTCTTAACTGACAAATCCCAAACTATCAAAGCTTACCAGCACACCAGAACAATGCACGAGGCAAGTTTAGCAAAATACAGGTATTTTCTTATGTAATAAATGCCATTACATGAGAAATATGACTGTGATAAATATGACTAATACTCACCTCTATTTCCCTCTTTTAAAGCATATTGACTCCTTTCTTATTGCCACCTCTACCAGCCAAGTGCATCAGCCTTTCAACTCTACAGTTACTGATTAACATTGGAAAAAAGTGAGAATAACTGATACCCTGCTATAGGAGAAAGCTAACATAAAGAACTGAGGTGAGCTCTATCCTCTCAACCCACAGTAAAAACAGAAAAAACAAAACTGCTGGTATCTTAAGGAGTAAGGATTTATATAAAGAAAAAAGGAGTCACAAAAAGCAGCTTAGTTATTTGTTCCAAAAAAGTGGGAGAATAGTAAGCCCAGATTTATTTGTATGTTTTATTCTTCACTTTCTTTTTCAATTTCCTGAAAGTCAACATATTTTGTGATCCAAACATAGAAGGCAATTCATCAGTAAGGATGATAGTTTTAAATTTCCAAGTCTATCTGTTGCCCTGCATAGTTATTACTATAAACATTGATTTAATATTCAAAATTAAATTTTAATATGGTAAACAACTTGCTTTCTATGTTAACTGTTTGAAATGTAACCACTAGAAACCGTTAAAGTTCTATATAATACTATAATACTCTAGGGGCTCACAACATTTAAAGTGCATAAAATTATTTTTGTAATTTAATTTTAAAACAGGAAATCTAAAGAAAGATCACTGAAATAAAACAATTAAATTTTCTTCCTGGAGAACTCATCTGGATTATTAGTGAGGGATCCATACAGGTACCATTTCCCTATGACCTACTTCCCATAACCAGTTGTTTCCCCCTAACATACATTGCTACAAGGCAGAAGAGCCCACCAACACCTGGAAATTCTGACTCTGTTTCCTGATGAATCACAGAATGTTCCTTTATACAGCTAAAACATAGCCTTAAATAATTTCTGTGGCTTACAGTTTTCTATTTTCATCACCGTGACGTTTAATTGACTGATAATTATCTTAACAGATCAAAATCCCAAAATTTAAATCTTTTACTTTGTCAAGAGGTTAGATGATTCAAACTATAGTCAATTAGTTTAAGGAAATATCCAGATTTAACTGTCATAACTTACATTGACACCCAAGGTGTTATAGAACATAATACACCAGGATAAATGGATCTATACGCACAATGCTTTTTCCCTCCAAACTGAAAAACATAACTCTTAAAAGAGGAATTATGCTTAGATTGAGAGTCCCCATCTTGTATCTAAGACATAAATGTCAAAATTATAATGGAAAATATGCTATTCTATTGATATTTGTATTTCAATTTTTGTTTCTGACACCAAAGAGAAAAGATTTAAGAAATATACTATTGAGGGTTAACAGATGTTTCAAACCAAAATAAAACAGAAAATTTACCAAACTTTAAAATACTAACAAAATAAACTTTATTAAGGAAAATCTGAAACATGTGCACCAAAACAAAAGTGACTACTAATGCTGAATTAAAAATCTCAAAAAATGTTTATCACATGATTCAATTTTTAAAACTTTACATATATAAAAGCTGTATTATAAATACAAAGATAAACTATTAGAGTGCTAACAATACTGGTCATACAAAACTTAACGGTAGTAAAATATGAAGACATAAGATGCTTATTTTTGGTCCTTCTGGTAAAAAGAACTAAGTTGGTTTTTTTTACATGGCTCCAGGCATAAAAACAGAATACAAGATGATAACTGCAAGATTCTTAGTGTTTATCCTTGTAATTCTTTAAATATCACCAGTCATAATAGCAATGAACTCCTCTTGGTTTACTGTGGTGAGAAAAAAAATGTAAGTCAGAAATACAAATGTTGTAGAACAATACTATCATGTTATACTAAGTATCTTTACATTTTATATTATACAAAGTTCTTAATAAACCAAAATTTCTTTGTAGGAAGTTGAACATGTTTATTAAACAGAACTTTACATATACAAAAATATAAAAAAATGATAAAATATTATTAATTATAATATTTATACACATCTAGAAAAATAGTTTTAAAAGCTTGCAATTTTTAATTTCTTGGATGGTTAAACTCTCTTTATAATCTTTATTCTACAAACCCTTCCATGAGTAAGCTTAAATATATCATGCATATAAATTAGAATTCTAAAAGGTGAATATATTAGATTTAGAAAAAAAGTCAAACTGTTTGTTTTTTGAACTTTTATATGTTCAAGAGCCTATTTTAAAGGTAACTTAATTGAAACTAGGGTCACCATACCTCAAAAGCATCTGGAGAAATGGTAATTTTAAAAGATACAGATTTAATCTTAATTACAAAAGTAATACAGCAACTACAAAATATAGAGGTAAATGTAGGAAATACTTATAAAGACTGTTAGTTTACCAAAATTATAAAGTTCAGTAAGAATCTCCAGTGTATAAAGTGTAATATTTAAGAATGCAATCTAGAAATAAATGTGTTCATCTTATTCAAATTTTAATTTTTATAAACCAATATACACACATACACATGAATTAGTAATAGAAACATTCAGAAAAGAATGCCTCCTTTTTGTAAAGCAAGTTGAGTTCATGGACCCCAAAACTTAACACATACCACCTGAACAAGCCATAAATTAATGAAGGATAATTTCAGTAAAGGTAACAAGAACACAAGGATGAGAAAAAAGAGATCTAGATTCCCATTATAGCTCTAACAGAGAACCGTTCTGCATCTCAATTTCTTCATCTGAAAATACTGAACTATGAGATCACCTTTTAGGTTGTTTCCAAGTACTAAATACCCAAGAAAACATAATATAAGAAAACATTCCATTGAATCAAACATTTTTAAGTGCATCATGAATCCCGACACCATACTAGGAGTTGTGTAATATATCAAAACAGGTAATATAGTTCCTATCCTAGAGTATCTTGAAATTTAAGTGAGGATATCAGGTGACATTATAAAACTACTGTAAATTTTCTTAGAACAGTGGTATCACAGCTTTGAAAGATAATGTCCTTATTCTTATTAGAGGAATTCTAAAAAATTGGGAGGGGTTTCAATAATATTGTCACATTTTGTACCTAAAACAGAAAGCAACTGCTCTGTAACATAACATGATTATTAAAATAAAAAACACATGTCAGTGTTGAAAAAAAATTCATCGCAATGGGAAAAACCATTACTGATGAGAAAAATTAAGCAAAAAATAAATTTTGATTTGGGCTCTAAAATAAAAATATAGGATTTGGTTTGATGGGATGGAATGAAAGCTAAGGTAGTAGAGTATCATCAGAAATGTAAGTTAAAGAAAGAAAACAGTGCAAAAACACTAAGGAAGGAATTAAAAAGAAAGCACTTGAACAGAAGCTGATAAAGAACCATGAATTAATCCATGCACTCAATATTAAAGATCTACAAGACACTATGGCAGACACAGCACAACAAAATACAAAATTTATATTTAAAATACTTTCAGTGATCTTATAAATCATAGTAGTGATCTTTAACCTTTGCAGTTAAGTGAACATGTTTCAGTATCTTAGGAAAACTACAGCCCCCTCTCTCCCTAGTTAAAAAAATTAAAATATATAACAATTTTAAACAATTATTTCTACATCTTCATTTGGGAACCCCTGATTTAGTCAATCCAGTTGAAAGCATATAGACTAAAACAGAAAACAAGAGTATGTTAAGAAAAACAGCATAATGGAGACGGTGAATCGACTGTAAATTACATTAACAGTATAATAGATCTATGATTAAAATATTCAAAATCTTAAGTATTTTGTTAAAGATCTAGAACTTTTCACTATATAAAATTTCAATACTCAAATTCAAATAAAGATTCATATAGTTCTAGAAGCACAAAAAATTAAGTTTTTTATATTTTTTATGTATAAACACTTTAAAGCATGATAGCATTTCAAAAGTACTTTAAACTATTCTATAATTTCACATCTACAAACAGAACACTTAAATCCAAAGAAGGGGGAAGCTAAAGGGAAGAAAGAGGCTAAGGAAATTAAACTAGCTCCTTTAGTACAGTGAGTCTTCCAGACAGGAGAATCTGCGATGTCTTTGTACATGTGGTTTTATAACCATCTCTATCAATAATATCATATCAAATTCCTGTATCTAATAAGTCTAGCATAATATCTACCTTAAAAATAGGCATTTAGTAAAATACTTATTGACTCAAACAAACATAACACTTCATTTTTTACACTGCCTTTTTAAACAAAATTTTCATAAATCAATCCGTCTATCCACAGGGTAAATATTACATGTCATTTAAATAGAGAATTTTAGTGAAATTAAGTAGATTATATACCTGAGAAACCATCTGGCTTTGAAACGAAAAAAACAAATTTTAGTATCTGAAGTACCAGTTGACTATTTTAGTAATATCATGCTTTCTATAGTAACAGGTAATTTTAAAACTCCATAAACATAGAAACCTAATTAATATTTCACTTTACAGTATAAGTAGCAATACAGCGTGACTTACAGATAAAAGCACATTCTTTGTCATTATGGAGATCTGAGTGTGAGTTTGGACTCTGCCATGTATTAGCTTTGTGGTAACCTTAGACTGGTGATTAACCTCAGAGCTTTAGTTTCCTCACCTATATATGCATCTATGCAATATGCATGAATGGGTATTGTATTTACTTCCCAAAAGCTATTATGAATATTAAGTGATATAATCCACAATGTAACATGCTAAGTACAGAATCTAACATGTATTAACTACAAAATAAATGTTAACACTCATCATAATTATTTAAAAATGATCCACTTTGGCTTTTCAAATGTTGCTCATTTTTCCAAAAAGATTTCTATGTTTTATTTTATATATCTTGGGAGGGATGATAGAGACTGGATTCTTTCTATACCATTGCCACAGCTTTATTTATATTTCATATTACATCTTCTTTTCCTTTAACTCCTCATTCACTATGTTTATTATTCTACATACACAATAAAAAATATTTCATTGCTTTTAAATACTGAACAGTGTGAGAAATTCATAAAGACAGAATAATTACTAAAGCCCCCCAAAAAAGTAGCCTAGTATTATGACCTTTACCAGCTTGACATGTACAAAGAAAGCAGGTTATAGCTAAACAGCACTGTTTGCAGCCAAAAGAACCCAAGTTAAGTGCTCAGATTAACAAGTTATTATAAAATGTAACTTCCTACTTTTTTTAAAAATGGGCAGATTTTCATATAGTGGCAGAGACCCATATAAGTTAAGGCAGAGTGGTAGTTCTCATTGTTTCTGAAAATATGCCTTTCAACAGAATTTCCTAGACTTGCCACAGTAACAGCTATAGTTAGTATGTCTTATTTGAGAAATACATGTCAAATAGCTACTGTAAGTTCCACAAAATAAGTGTATTTATCAATCACAATAAGTTACTGATATAAATGAGAAGTAGTTTATGTAAGTTCATGCAATACTATTATTCATATGGTTTACAGACAGAATTTGATGCACACACCCAGAATCCACACAAAACCTCAGACAGCCTCCATCCCCACAGACCCACATCCCAAACTGGAAACTACTGATTTAGACTATTTAAAATGGTAAGACCACGCTACTCCTCCCAAAAAAGACAAACTTTAATAATAAAAAACTATGCATCACCTATATTTTATCTGTAGTCAATCACTTGGAAAAGAGAAAAAATGTTATTTGCCTATTAGTCATTTGAATAAATGAGAGTAGGATGCCCAAGCAATAGTTGTATGGTGACTTAAAATGGAGTATTAAAAGCAGTGAGGACCAAAGAATTATTTTAAGTATGCATTAAAATAAATCAAGCAATGGAGCACAGGTGCAAACTCTTTTGAGATTCAAAAGCAGCAGACAGAGCCATCTAACAAATGATACAAGAAATGGACATATTTTCTAACCAAGTTTCACATCAAATTTGAATTTAAGAGGTAGCTTCATAATTGATATTTTAAGTAAAATGTAGGTAAAAACCAAAATCTAATTTGCATGTGCCTAGTACAAAAAAGTTTATAACTCTCATCTTTTAAAACAAGTTGCAGCCGTTATTAAAGATTTATGGAAAAGACACCAAGACTCTCTATGCCACTGAAGACAGTATCTTTACAGAAGAGAGTTCCTTTAAAGCTAATTTAGGGTAATAAAAAGCTAGGAAAGACACAAATTTTTTAAAAATATGAAGGCAGTAGATTTTAAGTCCATATATTAGAGTGACAGCTTAAACCATTTAAATTTCATCAAGTTTTAATCATCTTTGTCTTCAAATATAAGTGACTGTATCAATACCCTTCAAAAAGGTAGTATTAAAAAACAGAAAGTTTATAATGCTCAAATAATATTCACATTGTAAGAAAGCACAATAATGCACAACCAAAGGACAATCTACAAATCTGAACTGATAGCTAGTTCCTTATTAAAGTTATGGGTACATATGTGTGTGTGTGCGTGTGTAGTAGGTACTACATCAACACTATCTACTGTAACACTCTTGCTTAGGGTTTTAAAAATCAACAAACATTAGAGCACTAATTATGGATAAGAAAATGCAGAGGAAAAAGACAAAGATTTAACAAGAAAGGAAAACACGCTTCTATTTAATGCTAGGCACCTTCAATTTCTTCATTTAATATTCACAACCCTGAAAGATACTACCATTCTCGTTTTCATAAATGGAGAAACTAAGACTCAGAAAACATTGAAAACTTGTGCAAAATAAACTAAGTGGTAGAGACTCAATTCAAATCCAGGTCTGCATCATACCAAAGCCTCAGGACTTGCACACTATATGATTCCATACTGCACCTGAGCAGCTTACAATATAATTGGAGAGACAGACATGTATGCAACTATCAGAGGGTGGTGGATAAAAGTATCAAAATAGTTTGTTTCTTTATATGCTATGTGCCCTCAATACAAGTCTCCTAGTTTATATAAACAGAGGAGGGAGGCTTTTGAGAAGGTGAAGTTTAAATGTATCTGAGAGAACAACTAACATTTTGGCAAACAGCAACTGGAAATCAGAGCATTCTAGGATTAAGAAATGGCATGATGAAAGGCCCAGCATAAATTATTTTCAGAATAGAGTATATTTTGTCAATGTGTGTATGTAGGGGAGGTGAAGGTTAAAGCAGAAGAGTGAAAGACTATAGGGGGAAATGAAAGTAGATACTTAAGATAGGACAAATCATATAAGGCTTTGAACTTCACTCTGTAGGCACTGAAGAATCATTCTGTTTGAACGGGAAAATTAAATCATCAAACCTGTATTTTAGGAAAAGAATGCTATCAATAGACTGAATTAGGAAGAAAGTAGAGGCTTATATGCATAGAGGGCAATTAGGAAGCTACAAGAGATAGTAAAGTTAGTGAAGGCAGGGACCACATCTGCCTTTCTCTCTGTGTAGAACCAGTCAGCACACAGGACACTGCACCCTGAAGGCATCCAAGGAGAAATGAATGCAGCTAGGATAATATTCTTCAAAGAAAGCAGGACCTGAACTAGGACACAGCAGTAAGCAAAGACATAAAACAGACACAAAACATCTGAAGGACAGAATCAGTAGAACTCAGCAACAGTTTAGGAGTTCATGTAGGTTAAGAAGGCCTTAAGGACTGCAATTTTACCGGTGTCTGAAATTTTGGTGATGTTTCATCCTCAAGGAAAAGTAAAGCACCTTCTTGAAGGGTGGAACCTGATATTACATCCTGTATATTTGGTTTTAAAAGTCTACTTCATTGTAATTTTTTTTGCTTCATTCTAAATATGTGAAATATTTATGCAAAAAGCCCATTATAGGATGAACAATTACCATAAATATAGTTTGCAAAGGGATTTGAAAGAGTTTTGAAATATTTACTATATTTGTACATGAATAATACTTGGAATGTATATTTTACTCAAAACTTACTTTCTCCATCACCATCTTTATCAAATTCTTCTATCATAGCTCGAAGTTCTTCATCACTCATGTTTTCACCCAATTCTCTGGCAACACGTCGCAAATTTCTCAAGCTTATTTTACCTGAATCATCATCATCAAATAGCTTAAATGCCTTCAATAATTCTTCATGTGGATCTCTTTCCAATACCCAGTCTGTCACTACAGTTAAAAAAAACAAAAATATAAAAAATAAACCTTTATAATAACAAAGGCATTCATTTGTGGTATCAACTTAGTATTAGATGAGAATCAAAGGTGTGAATCTGCTGTTTAGTTTGACAATAAAAAGACAAATCAGAGCCCAAAAACCTAGATAAACCTGAAATTAAAAAAAACAAATCTGTATTTTAAAATTTAACCTTTAAACTATCACCAATTTATCCTATTAAATAAATAAGAAAAACTATATGACACAAAGACAAAGTAAAAAGGACTATATTTATACCATATTTATTGAAAGTCTATTGCACTGGGCTCCTCTGACATCAAGCACACAGGTCTAGGAGTTTATAACCTAGTTGTAGAGATGATACCAACAAAACAATGCTAACTATATGTAAGTTGTTTGCTGGCTAAACTTAACAGTAACACTGTTCCAAGATAACAACAGACTCAGTGAGACACTGAGAAGGTACTGGTGGTTATTACAATGGGGGAGGGGTTGGGGTGGGTGGGTAGGGAGCATGAGGAGGATAAAGGGGCACAAAAATTCTCAATCATAGTATAAGTTGGTCATGGGGATGGTAGAACAGCATGGAGCATACAGCCAATGATTCTGTAACATCTTCCTAGGATGACAGATAGTAACTGCACTAGTGGGAGTGAGGATTTAATAATTTAGATAACTGTTGAACCACTGTGTTGTATTCTTGAAACCAATATAAGATTGTGTATCAATGGTACTTCAATTTAAAAAAAATGTAACACTGTTCCTCAAATTTAATCCAATCTAAAATAAAAACAAACAAATAACCCTGACAAATTAACAAAATGCACTGCCATCACTGATACAGACTCAATCTCAGAGAGGAGATGCAAATTCCACTGACATCTTCTTGCTTAGAAGAACTCTTGATTTTCCAAAATACGAAAAGTAGTTACCACAAAAGGACTCAATCTGATTTTATTAAGAAAGCCCCCCGCAAAAAAAAACAGGTCTGGGAAGAGTTCTCTCTGAAGTCATATCCATTTTGTTCAGCAAGATAATAACTCTTCGACAACTAAGACTAAAGGTAATTTCAGACTATAATAACATTTTAATATACTAAAGGTAATAAACAATATTTTCAATATTACCACAGTGTTTAATTAACAGCCACAGTAACAAAAATTGAAATAAGAATCTGTAATATAAAAATTTTAACTACTAGAAAAAATTCTAAAAATGGCTAAATAGACATCTCAGAAGTCTACCACTACAACAACAGGTATTTATGACTTTCACTATGCCATTAAAAATAACTCAGTCCTGGTGAAGTTTACAGAATCATTAAAACCTTGCAAATGCTTGCAGATGTAAAGTACTGGAATGTTTTAATGCACCCAAAAGGAAAAATACAATTCAAATCCACAATTTCTTGTTGTTTTGCTGTTTCATCATATTTGATTGAATAAGCTTTAGAATAAGCACCCATGCAAGCTAATGCTAAATCATCTACACATATCTCAATAGTTTTCTTTTATCCATTAATTTCATCCAAAAAGTCTTCCAAGTAACTAATTGAAGTATATTACTATAAGTATGCAAATTATCAAAGCTCATAAATATTCAGTCAAAAAGGAATTGGCATATATACAGCCATAACACCAAAATAAAATACCATGCTTAACTCTGTGGCTCATACTCAACTTATTTTGAATTTAGTCCCAACAAAAAAGCAGGACAAGGAAAAAAAAGTGTTAAGAAATTTTCTTCACCAATTAAATAATTTACATGACAGGTGAACCAGAAAAGCAGCTTGCTGAAAGTATTAATGTACTTAAAGAAGCAACAGGGTAATCTGGGGAACAGATGGGGCTCCAAGATGCAAAAATTCTTATCCCACTGGTGCTTTAATTGTGTTAGTTACTTTACACTTAAGTGTCTATATAATCTTTTATCAATACTTTGCCTTAGAATGCAACTTTTCTTGGGAACCACAAATACCCATCCTTCTGGACAGCTAAAACATTTTAATTTTACAGTGACTTTCCATGCCTCCTTCGTTCTATTCCTGTTCTACAAAGTAAAATATAATTATAAGAAATGTATTTTTTTTTTCAATGAAAATAAGTCAACTAACATACAGGAAGTTAAGGTGGGTACTATTTCACAAATCTCTGTTCATATAACTATTTTAAAATAATTATACTACCAGAAATATACTTCCTCAAAATAATACCTTATCCATTACAAAAATCACTTAATACAACAAATTAACATCACATATCTATCAAAAAGCATGAAGGTTATGCTAGAAATATAGCTTCCACTGTATTTCTCACTGCCCTTTGGAAGTTTCTATTCAAGCATACTAGTTATTTCAAAGTGAACATTGTGGAATCCAAACCCCTCCCATTATCACCAAAACAGCTGTCGATGCCCCACCCCTAAAAAGGTAACAAACAGCACCATTAACAGGTAAGTTTCCCATATTTGAAAAGTCTTAACATTTTCAATCCATTAACGTAATCAGAGATTAGGTCCTAGGGTGCTGAGGATACTACCTTTTTTACTCATTTAATTAAAACGTTATCTCTTTTCGTTCTCACCACCCTTAACATAAAAAATCTATTATTTTTTGTCTGCAGTCTCTCTTCCCTCCAACTCATCTTTAATACTCTCAACAGAGTTACATTTCTAAAACATATTATCTCCTCTTCCTTAAAACTTGGCAATGATCCTCTAAAGTCCAAACTCTACATGATATGTAAGACTTTACCTATCTGACTGGGTCATCCTACCCCTCCAGTCACTTCCATATCTCCTAGAGCAGGGAACTCCCCAAACATACATTTCTGGTACCATTCGTTGTTGTTTCCTCTTCCTGGAATGCCTTTTTCTACTCCTCCTACAATTTTCTCCTTGGGATGAAATCCTATGCACATTCCCAAGGCCTAAATTAGAAATGCCCTCTGCAAATTCTTCAATTGCATTAGACCAGGAATGGACAAATATTTTGTGTTAAATGACAGATAGTGAATTTTTTAGGTTTTGGAGGTGGGCATAATGTCTCCATCTAACCTACTCACTCTGCCACAGAGCAGCATAAAAGAATGGATGTGGCAGTGTAGAGGCAGCAGCTGAATTTAGCCCAAGTGCAAGTGTGCCAAATCCTGCCCTAGACAAAATTATAATTTACCACATACCACCATACCTTGTTGTCACCTACATTTAAATGATAAGCTCCTTGAAAGAACCTCTTAGTAACTCTTAATTTCCTTTCCTCACTCCATCACAGTACCAATGCCAAAATACTCAGCAAAGGTTTGTTAAATGAACAAAAGAAAAACAGTAACACAATAATCTATTCTGAATAGGCAATGAAATAGTAAGTAGCTCATGCCAGAAATAGATGGGAGTACAAACATCTGACATCTTGGTTTTACTTTAAAGCAGCAATTCCTAAAATACCTTTGTTACTCAGTAGCCTCAGGCTGTCTAGATTCTACACTTGTACTAAGAATATTTTAATATTTTTTTCTAACATTGGGAAAAATCTGGTTAGGTGTCAGACTTCATCCAAAAATACTTGGATTGTACCCTTAAACAATAATAGATGGTATATAACACCAAGTCTCAAATGTTCTGATTTGGAGTTACCTGTCCCAAAGTATAAAATATATATTCATTTGTGGTTAGTTATCATACAAAAATAATCAACAAATGGGGTGAATACATAGTTTCTGTTTTCCAAACAGTAATCATTTTTTATTTGACAACTGCTATTCTCAACAGGTAGCCTTAGAATAATAAAGTATGTGCTCTGCCTGTCTTTGAAAGTCAGAGCTGAAGTTTAACCGTGACCACTTATTCTGGAAAAAACCTTATTTCTGCTCTGTTAAAAACATAGAAAAGAATGAGAGTCAGGAAATGGTGGACTGAGCATGGAACTCTGGCTTTAACTGCTAATAAAATGGCAATTTTAAAACCATATTCACTTATGAAATAATATATATTAAAACCATATTCACTTAAGATGAAATAATATATCCACTTAAGATAAAATTATTAATTAAAATGTTAGGGATAAGAGCCTGCAACTATGAGAAAAAGGCAATCAGAAAAATATAAATACATGAGGTAGAATTTTTATGTTCCAGTCATTGACACAAATGAAACAAAGACTTTTTTTACAGTAATAACGAATACTTATTAGCACTTACTGTCTGCTAGACCTTTTTCTAAGCACTTTACATACTATTAACTTAATTATTCCTCAGAAGAACCCTACAAGACAGCACAACTATCTCCAACCTGAATTATAGCTCTTTTAATAGTACCATTTCCACTATATCCTAAAACCTTGTTTCTATAGATAATCTAAGTTGAAACTTGAACTAAGATCATAAACCTCAGAGGAGCTTCAATGTTGGGAGACTATGGCTCTCAGCCTCTCAAGTAATTAATTATACATTAAAGGGAAAAAAGGAATGTGCTTCCCAAACGGACAAGCTGCCTCTCTAAACAGGCATTAGTTTGTAAGTTGCGGATCCTCTGTGCTGTGCTTTCTTTCACTTTGAGGTTTATCCTTTAACTTCCCTCTTCCTTGCTTTTGGTTTCAGTTTTCAGGTTAAAACAAAACAAAACAACTATATAATGGTATAAATCTTTTTTTTCCTATATGTCCTAATTGCCATTTCTTTTTGCTTCTCAGATTGCTTCTTGCCAAATACTTAGAAGTATTAAGGTTTGTGTGTGTGTGTATATAACTGAATTTGTTCCTACATTTTTAAAACATCTAAAAATAACTATATGACATGCTCATATTATGACCCACATGAAGTGGTATCATAGGTTTAGAAAATTAATAAATATAAATCTGATCTATGTACTTTCTATATACAATTCCTTAGGCAATATATTTAAGTTATAATGGCAAAGTCCTTGCCTTCCAGAATTCTCCATTCTAAAAGAGCCTGATACATACTCTAAATAATTCATTAACATCAACTACACAAAAGTTCAACCATATTAAGCACATTACACATTATCTTCAGTTGGGCATTCTAAAATGTTTTCTCCTGCTTCCAGTCTGCCAACTGCCTCCCTCACTACAATCATCCCATCTGCAACTTTAAATTAGAGATGATTATATTCACCAAGATTAAGGTCATCCAGAGTTACACATTTGTCAACCAAAAGGCATGCTCTTCATCTACAGCCAACGATACCAACTACTACAGGTTTCCTCTTCTCCTACTTTGCCAACAAAAATTACATTCTAGAATGGTCTTGGGAAACGTTTTCCAAACGAAAGAATACCAAGTCTTCTGTTTTACTGTGAGAAAGTAATTTCTTGATCACTCTCTTTAATTTTATCATATAACATAAATGCACATTACTTGGAAAGACATCTTTCCATAAAAAGCTACACAAGATTCCCTGGCCAGAATTTTTAGAACAAAAGACAAAATGGTAAATCCACAGCAAAGCTGTTAATCTTATTTTTTCTTTGAAAATCAGTAAAAAGAGTGCCAAAAAAACCCAAATAAGATACACATTATACAGCAATATTCAATAATACTGTCATTAAACTAGACAATTTCCTAACAACTGCTCATTACAAAGACTATTAAAATACACACCAACTTCATTAAAATCTTCAAAGGTGATTTTCCCTGTGGCTTCTCTGTCATAATCTTTAAGAATCTTCAGTACATCAGCCTTTTTTACATCAAACCCCAAGGCTCTCATTGCCACCTTTTGGATTAAAAAGGAAAAGCAAAATATAAGGCACTCTTTCAAAAAAGTGATTTCCAATCCTTAAGTAAGTTTTTACAATTTAAGAAATATTAATAAAACATACAATTCTTTTATACATTTTCTGTCTCTAAAATAACAGTGATAGTTTTTCTTAACTACTGAATTTTAATGGCAATTTTTTCCATTTTATCCTTCTGTATGACAAACCAATCAATGAGTGTTTATAGCATATACTGTACAATGCACAAACTTGTGCACAGATAATTTAACAAGTTACTTGTTCTCAAAAGATTAACAACCAAAATGGAAAAAATCTTAGCATAAATATTAAAAAGCTCTACAATGAGAGATTTTTAGAAATTAAAAAATTATCATCAGACCCTATGTGATCACTTACCAAGTAAGTAATAATGGGCCCTGAGTTTAGAGAAAGAAGAGATAGAAGAGATCTGGTTACTATTAACAAGGAAGAAGAGACAATGTTATTGATTTTAAAAGCCTTATTTGGAGAAATACAAGTTGTTCCTTGATGTATGGATGAAGTAGAGTAGAAGGGCATATAGAAAAGGATGACAGGTAATTAAAACAGACACCAAAATGAAGAATAGGCTTAAAAACAGTGCACAGAACAATTTAACTTACCTGATCAGAAGAGCTCAAAAGGAAGCAAGTAGTTGACAAGTAAGAAAAGCAGCTAGTAGTAAATGTGTGGAAAGCATTCAATAAAAATCAAAGGAAAATGAACTTAATGCAGTATACAATAAGGAGACACTAAAGGTTTATAAGCAATGAGCAACATGATGAAAAATTTTTAGAAAGATGAAGCTAATGGTACTGGGTGGGTATGAAATATCCCAAACCAAGAAAATAAGAGCAACAAATGGAAGCAACAGTATAAAGGAAGAATTGATAAAAGTTGGTAACAAAAGAAAAAAGAAGCAACAGAGCTACTAAAATGTTGCCTTTCTCATTGTGCTAGATGTAAGATCCATACTACCCTTTTGTTTTTATAAATTATTCTAGCCTTTAATTTGACATTTCCCCATTAGCACCATGTCAACATCAGGTATCTATCACTTGCGTTACATTTGCAATTGAGAAAGAAGGGGTATCTATCACTTGCATTACGCTTGCAGCTGAGAAAGTAGATTGAGAATGTTACTAGCATGTTCAAATTAAAGGACAAATAACAATCAACTTCAAAAAAGAGTAAGTTATAAAAGAAGAACAGATGAATATAGTAATAAGTATTTAAATCCTGTAGTTTGAAGACTTTATTATGTGAATGAAAAATAAGCCCCTTCAAGGAATGTATTTTTCCATTTAAAATACTATTCATTTTATCATGTGAAAAGGAGATTCTGTAAAGATATAGGGAGTATGACTTAATTTTATTATAGCATTTAACTATGAATGTTTAAAATGGTTTCATATTTCCAAAACCTAATTAAAGTACTTTAGAGATGGATTTTTAACCAAATGACAAAAATGTAAAATCATTTTCACAGAAAAATATTCTAAAGTATACTATTACCTTTAACTCATGATAATCTATTGCTTGATCTTTGTCTGTGTCAAATAGTTCAAAGGCATCTTTAATTTCTTGTTTCTGTTCTTCAGAGAGTTTTCTTTTTTTCCGCTTTGATTTGTCTACTACAAGCTCATTTCTATGAAATGGAAAGAGAAAAAAAGTCTATTTAGTCCACTTTAATCCTATTCCCTTATGCCTTCAAATGATTAAGATTCCAAAATGCAACAAAAATTATCCAGATGAATAATTTTCTAAATTTCCAAAAAGGAAGTATTTGGAGAAAGATAAAGAAATATTGTTTACATGATAAGCCAAAGCCCAATTCATTCTATTGTCTAATCTGCCATTAATTTGCACTTCCCCAAAATTAAGAGTGTTACAGATTATTAAAAGAAATGAGGGCCTAACCTTCATTCCTCTGGCTTTGTTATTTATTCCCTCTAATAGAACTATGGAAGACACAAGAACTGTGAATAAGAGACATTACTTTTATGTCAGAAACCCCAACAAAAACCAAATCACCAATACTTATCACTCATATCATTCTACAATAGAGTCTTAAAAAGTGAAAGTCAAATTCATCAATGATGATCACTATATATCTGGCTTATTTTTAATGGTGTTTAAAATTAAGTTACAAAATTACTACCAAAAAAATATATATGATTTATTAATTAATTTATTATTTTGGCAATTACACGTTTCTAAGAGTTTGGCACATTATAATTTCTTTCATTGTTACTAGGAAATCAGCCAAAATACTGAGTCTAAACATACCACAATTAACAATAAAAAAAAACTACAGAGTATTTGTGCTAATTCTATGTAATAAATGTTAAGGCGTCAATAGTCTGGTAAATCTCACTTAACATCAACAAACTCTTATAAAGTTAGCAAAAACTTTTAAGAAAAAAGCAAATTTGTTTTAAAAGCCAGAAATATCTTAAGGGATGCCTATCTAAGTTTTCCAAATTTTCAAATGGGGCTACAACACTTATATAAAAACACGTTTCGAAACTGAAAAAAATTCTATAGAACTTTTAAAATGTAAAGCCCAGTTGATTTTCTTAGGCCACTTCTAATCTATTTACATTTGAAGTTGGTTTGTCCTCTAAAGGCTACGCAAAATACAAAGGCTTGAAATGGCTAGAAAGGCTTGAAATGGCTGACGCGGGGGCCGTAGACCAGGAAGGTGGAACTGAACGACGGGATGCTCCGTGGCCTCGTTTCTCGCAGAAACACCGCAAGAAAAAAACCTCGCGATATTTTACGCCCTTCTCACACCCACAATCACCCACCCGTTTGGCGGTCCAAAGCCCAGCGCGCCGACAGATATGACTACCTCAGCGAAAGCACAAGGGGCTCATCACCGGCGATATCCCACTGCTCCCAGGGTGAAGGGTCCGAGCCCAGGAAGGCTGGCCTAGGCGCCTTTCCCTCCTCCAGAACTGCATCCCGTTCCTCCCCTCGGCCCCACACGGCCTCCCTTCCACACAAACCCAACCTGGGGCCCGCTGCGGGGTGTGGAGAGCACTGCGGCCCCCTCATTACCGACCTCAAAGCTAAACTCATTTTCTCTTCGGACAGAGACGTTCCTCCCAAGTACGACTTTAGCCAACTATCCAAATGACCGCGACTTCCACAAACCATTCGGCGTCACCAACGACCTCAGCGACCTCAAGGACCTCCCACAAGGAAGATACTTTCGAACTCGATTGATTGAAATTGCTGAAGTCTGTCCTTTGAGGCGGAAGCGTCGCTACTCCTAGGCTCTCATTGGATATCTTTCGCGTCAATCAAAGAACCCGCTCTGAGCTGCTCTCCTTCCTGCCCTGTAGATTGGCCTGTTGCTATTTCCCCGAATCCTTTGCGGAGCGAAGCTCTGGCTGCCTGTGTAGCGGCTGCGGCGGCGGGTGGCTGGACCTTGCAGGCCTCACGCAAGGTGGATAAGTGTCCGGAGACCGAGGGAAGGGAGGGGCAGAGAAGAGACTCGCCACACTATATCCTCCGGCTAGAACGAAGTAGTAGCTGGGGAGCTAGATCTACGAAATTTCGCCCCGCTGTATTATAAAACCTTGGACAGCCTAAGTACATGGGGAGTTTGTTTAAAATGCATTATTTACACGTTCCTTTAATTCATTCTGATTCCAGTAAGTGTTAATCTGCATTCTTGCCTTATTTGCAAACTGTCCAGTGATGGTGAGGCAGGTGCTATTATACATGGATAATCACTGGGTTCTATCACTAGGCTATTTACGGTGAAACTGCCCAAACCGCCCCTAGCTACCACCTTCCCCATCAAACGGCTTTGTTCGCTATGTCCTTTATTTTCTAGTGCTGTAAACTGCTTATACACATGTAATCTTTACTACCAAAGCGTGTCTCTTGAAGCTCCCTTGGCTATTACGTTTACTTATTCATCTCCCCTACTAGGCCGAATTTCTTACTAGGATTGCATCTTTCATTTAACGCCATTCCTGGTGCCTAATACAATGCCTGATGAGTACGTGCTCAATAAATATTTGTTGCATTGAAGGAATCTTGTGAAAACTCACAAAGCACTAGCTAAGCTGCAAATTTCATAAAGGAGTGAAATAGACTGAGGATGGGGATCGTGCACGGGAAGGGGGAAGATACATAAACACTATTATAAAGGAGTATATATATATATATACACACACTATATACATGTGTATTATGTATATGTATACTATTTACATATGTTATACTATATACATATATATATAATATATATATATATATATATGAGTTTAGAGAAGGGACAGGACACAGAGTAGAAGAAAAGCTTCTTGAAAGAGATGGCATAAATGATAGTCCTAGAAAGATGACCTAAATTGGACAAGTAAAGGTATTTATGATGGAATGATGCTAAAAATTAATAGCTAAAGGATAGCCCCCACCAAAAAAATAGAAAACTACATTTTAAAATACCTCTCAATTGCAGTTAAACACTAGAATGTAGTGACAATGAAAAAACTCCATATTAAAATTGTAAGATACAGATGAAGCTATAGAAGAAAATTATTATCAAATAAGAACGAAAGTAAGTCAGGAATTTATTTGAAGATTTTTAGAAGTGTAGAACAAAATAAACATTAAAATTAAAAAGTTCTAAAGATAAAACACAAGGGAATTAGAAAAATTTTTAAGAGAAAATTGTTAAAATAATAAATTTGCAAGATATTCACGTACTCTAACCAGGTGTACCTGGTTCTGGTAACCCCAATAAAATGTATAGATTTATGGAACTGTGACAAAAAAGACAACATTGCCACTAATAAGCTGTGTTTTAAAAGGGAGGTTTAAAAATTATTTAGATGTACAACTTCATGCTGTCAATATCAAAACGAAATAGTGACTTTCAAGGAAAACAAAGGTAAGGATTCAAAACAAAAACCAAATTAGATCAGTAACTAAAATAGGATTGAAAGAATGATGCCAAAGTTCTGTACCACAAAATAAAAAGGCATCCAGCCCACCCAGAATTATGGGTGGGTTTTTTAAATTCTTGAAGAGCTAATTCTTGTGTTACAAACTCAAAACATGACAGGGAGCTTCTTAGCTTAAATTTTGAAATTAGCACAACCCTTAGTATCCCAAAAATCACTCAAAATAAAAAAAGTTTAGATCACTGAGTGTGTGCTCCGTGATGAGAGTGTGCATGTTGTTCACCGTAATATGTGCCTGGCTCATATTTAATGTTCATTAGTGAGCATACTTGCAAAAATCCTAGATGTCAGAATTAGGTGTTGTCTTAAAGGAACATTTCACTATAACCAAATGGAGTTTATTTTTAAAAAACAAAGACAGTTTAAAATATATATCTATTAATCATAATTCTAGGTTAAAGAGATCATCTCAATGCCTAAAAAAGTACTGAAAGACACTCAACACCCATTCCTAATAAAATACATGTTAATAAACCAGATACAGAAGGTACTTTTTTTAACTTGACCATCACACTTAATAAATGCTAGTGTTTGATTTCTCAAACCTGGTCCCTGAAACACCAGTTTTGTGAGATGTTTATGGTTATTTCATGAATGAGTTTTGTGGGCACATAGTTTGGGAAAGTAGATTTTTAAATGTTAAACTAAAATGTTTTCAACAGGGTATTATTTTAAGGGAATAACAGGGAAGTTACATGCATCACTTCTGCTTATGTTTATATTAGTGAGAATCAGTGACATGTCCCCTCCTTTGTTACGAGGGAGGCTGGGAAAAGAAATCTGTATCTGGGAAACCATGTGCCTTGCTAAAACATGGAGTCAGATCATCTACTAGTAAAGGTAAGATGGGATAATCAGTTCTGCCACAGACACTATTAAAGCAGTTATCAACGCTCTCTTTGAAATTCTAACCAATGATGAAATAAAACAAGAAAAAGAAGTGATACATAAAATTAACATGTGAGGATGATAGGATTACCTTGAAAAATCCAAGAGTATCAAGCTATTGGAATTGATAGAACTTGGTAAAGTAGCTGATCATCAGTGAAAAAATTGCAAAATCAATAAGCATTTGCAAAATAAAATAGCAATATGAAATTCCTACAATAACTTAACAGGAAATCTATAGGAGCAGTCTGTAGAAAATCAGAAAATTTTACTAAATGACATGAGATTTGAAGAAATTGATGTTATACTCCTAGATGGGAGGAGTCGGTATTGTAAGTTATATCTTATCTTAACCTGTAAATTTAATGTAACCAAAAGAAATTTCACATTTTTCTTGAATTCACCAAAACTATTCTAAAGATCATCTCAAGAATAATTGCATAAAAGAAACTAAAGAGCATGGGATGTCAGTAAAGAAAAATTGCATAAAAACAACTTAAAAAATTATAAAAAGAATAATACAAAAATTGCTTTACAGGATATTAAAATATATTTGTTACTGTGGTAATAAAGTCCAGAACCAGAGCCAAAAAGGTAGGTAACACTTCTGGCTTAAGAAGGTAATAGCATTAGTATTTGTTTAGCCTTCCTCCTGAAACCTTAAGAAAAAATAATTGAGAAATTAATTTCTAATACTGAAATGACCTGAAGAGATGTCTTCAGCAGAGAAGGTATTTCAGAAAATATCTGAAAGATCAAAAGAGATACGGAGGTCTGTTGACAAATCAGATCATCAAAGTGCACCTCAGAATTTGCAGGAAGTGACTAAAGCTTCAGAGCAAGTGGATCTGCCTGGCAGAGTCCCAGAGAGACCTTACGCTTAGAGTTGTCTTGTACAGTAGAGGGTGGAAATGAGAAGAGGGTTAAATACAAATCTCTTTAAAAACTCAGAAACCATTGCATTTCAGTTCTTTCAGATTTCCCTCCCCAATATTCTTTCTCTTTACATGTGCATAGAACCCCATTTAAAAAATGAATGACAAATCAGAAACCATCAAGGATATGAAGAAAATCAACAACATGAAAGACAAAACTAAAGAAAACAAACAACTATCTAGGAAGACTGAGTCATCTTAGGAACCAAAAGAAATTCATAAAAAATTAAGCTTCCTAAGAGGTGGTCAAAAAAATATTAGAGAATAGGATGCTTTAAAAAAAAAAAAAGGAGCATTTTGAAAATAAGAAAAGACTTGAAAATACACATGTGATTGCAGAAATTTAAATTTTTTTGGAATGGTGAGATGATTTAATCGAAATATCCCAGTGTTTAGACAAAGACACAGAAAAACTGTAAAAGCATGAATAGGTCCATTATGTAACTCATAGGAATTTCAGAAAGAGAGAGCAGCAAATGGAGGAGAGGCAGGAAAATATCAAGGAAATAGGTGAAAATGTTCAAGGAACTGGAAAGTAACACAAGTTTCCAGATTGCTAGGGCATCCCTAGTACTGAGCAAAATAAATAATAAAAAAACAAAACAAAAAAAAACACATCTAGCTACATCAACAAGACAGTTCAGAACATCAAAAATGAAAGAAAAAGGTTAGAGAAAATCCAGAGAAAGAAAAAGGTTAGAGATTTTGCAGAGAAAATTTGACCTACTAAAAAAAAAAATTGAGCTAGCATCAGATTTCTCATCAGAGACATTAGATACCACAATATCTTCAAAATTGTAAGGGAGAATTACTTCAAACTTAGAATTTTATTCCCTTTCAAGAAAAAAATCCAGTGTGAAAACATAATAAGGATTTCAGAAAGTTCAATCATCATATACACTTTCTGAGAGGTGTACTCTAGATTGTACACTCCAGGTGTAGTCCAATACAAATATGTATTTTTAACATATTCAATGAAAAAGAAAAACCCTCACAATGAACATAAATATAATAAAACCAATAAAGAGCAAATAAGTGCCAAGACTTTAAAAAAAATCAAAGGCAAATAATGAAGTAGGAAAGATATTTGCAAAATACATGAAGGATAAGAGGTTATTATTTTTCCTGATACAACTGAAACCTGTTTACAATATGATCTTGACCTGTTCTAGACCAAAAAATTTATTTTCTTTTTCTCCATTCAGTGCTTTCATGTATATTTTTTCAAATCTCTCTTCCCTGTTGCTTTATGTCTAGGGTATATCTTGTAACTTTATTTTCATTGTTGATTAGAAGAGTAAATTCAACTTCTCTAATTATGATTCCCTTTCAGGTATCAAAAGGTCTAATTTAGTCTATGGCAAAGCTACATCTTTGCCCATTGCTTTTCCCCTAATAGATAAGTTGTATTGGGACAATTGG